AAACGCCGCTTTTAACGCACTTTCCCTGTCGTGACGTGACGCGTTCACATTTCAACAAAATTTCAATTTATTTCCACGCAGCTGTCATTTATTTAGTAACTGTGATTTGTCGTTTTTTAAATTATTTTATAGTGATCACTATGGTCTAATGTTTAGAATGTCAAAATATGTTCTCTTTTATTTTAATTTTGAAAGTTTTACTCAGACGATCGATGAAATAAAACAGTGTAGTGACGTGCCTAGTAACCTGCTAAATAACGAGATAATTCCGACGTCAAATTCTATTTTGTCCAGCGACAGTGTACAAACGTGCCGGTGACGATCGGTGACCAGCTACACCAGAACGGACATATTTCATCTAACTCAACCCCATGCAACAAAAATTGATACTATGTGTACATAATGGTCCATTCCTCTTCGACGAACAAGTACATAAGTGAAAATTTAGTCAAAAACGAGAAAACTGCAGAAGCAATTTGCCTTATTTACACGTATCGGCAATGCAAGCTGCCATGCGACTTCCCCTTCTGACGTCACAAGGGGAATTTCTGTATGCAAATAAGAAGCTAATGAGGAGCCTCGTTTTAAAATACACAAAAATAAAGTTGCCGTAGATTGAGTTTAAAACACATTTTTTCACTTAAAAAAATAATTCATGCTTAGAAACATAAAAAAATAATAATATTTATGTATCAATGGATAATTCTAGGCGTGAAAATAGCAGCCATTTCACAGGCACTTTAAAGTGTTTAATTAAAGTCTAAAGTATTTCATAAGAGATTACAAAGATGGAAAGATGTAAACTTGCAGTACAAGGATGTTTAGGGAGTCTGCGTCTATGAGTGATTAACTTTTTTTTCACAATACAATCGAAAACTATAACTACCCCGGTATCTTTCAGATATTGTAGATCTTTTTTTTCCCAAGACTTTACCTTCAGGAAGTTTTCCTTCTCCTCAGCTCTCTGTAGGAGATCTATAGTGCTGACTAACTGTGCATGATCACTGCATCCAAGAGATTCACAGCTGATGACGTAATCACTAGATGGCCACTCAGCAAGCACAGCAGATAGCACATGTCTGGCATACATTATAGCCATTGCACTATTAACCTACAAATTAAAAACACATGTGTCATATAGTTGGCATCCCAGTAGAAACAAGACAGCAGTGTAACACAAGAATTATACTTCTGTACCCAGAAATGCTGGTTTCAATGACAGCAAAATTATATTATACAAGATGTCCTTCATTCGTATGATGAATAGAGTTGATTTTGAAAATTTTTAAAAAAAAAAGATTTCAAATATATGTCAAACAAAGCTCAAAGTACATATAATTACATATAAGTCTTATTTTTTCAGTAATGTAATTTTCTTCTCCAGCAAAATTAAAGTAGTTTATACAAATTGGTAACTATGACAACACCTGATACTTACTTTCAGCAGGTACTGTCTAGAACCAGACTTGCCATGTGTTTCAAGTTCTTTCCGTAGAAGTGCAGAACTTTTGTTGCGTTGCTGTCTACCATAGCTCTAAAAAGCAAGAAAACATATCACACATTTTGATACAGCTTTTATTACAGACAAAAATGTTCATTTTTATAGTAATCCTGTCCATAGCCCATGATGATCACATGTGTACACATAAAAGATAGCTGATTTTGAATACTTCCCTAAGATGTTAGCAAAAAATTTGTACATGAATCAAGTTTATTTGTTTGTAATTCGTGTACTCACCTGCTTCATTTCATTTTCTGGTGTTGATATCAGCTTCTGTATTCCTTCATTTGGTTCAACAATGGCAACATTAACTGGTCTGAAAAAACAAAATAGCACAGAACAGAAATGGAGTCTGTAAGATTTCCTGGAACGACATCAATTTCAAACAATTTTGTTTTGTAACAGTAACTTTTTTTAATCAATAAAATTGTTATGAAATTAAACTTTACTGAACCTTTAACTTAACAAAAATGTTTGATTATGTAAATGAACTAACAACACTAAATGAAATGATTTGTTTTCCACTCGCATTTCACACAAATCTTACCGCAAAGTGATGCTACTGGACAAGTCGTTTTTGAGACTGAAGTTGAACATGCTATAATTAATCAATCACAGAAAGGAGGTGTAATTAAAATATGCACAGATTTAAAGCAGTTTTATTGGCTGTAATAATTTTAACATGAATCGGTCATGTTATCATGCTAATTCTTTTCAATTTGAACACACACTGTTTTCTAATTTGCAGTGCTTATTGTATATCTTAAAGACACAAATAGATTTTTGCAAAATATAGTCTGCTCTTTTTTGTTCGAAAACTTGAAGCAATTTTTGCTCCTGTATTATCCTTGAATTCAGTGAAAATTAAAGAAAACGTGAACAAATTTACCCAAAGTTAGCAGGAAACAATTTGGTGCTCAAAGGGTTAATACCTTCAATATTACTTTTGGTCTGATGTAGCAGTTTTAAGAAATTCAAACATTATTATATAGTAAATTGATAATATGAGGGAACCGTATTACGAGAATACTGGCAAGTATGCACGGAGACAATACGACAGCAGTATTGACCGACTAGCAGCGGAGGTCGATGCAACGGCGTACGGTCTGTCATAATATTATTATACATCTTTTTCTCCCAGGAATCCAAAACATTTTGAACAGATTTAGCTTCTTTGTGTGGGGTCCAGTAAAACCCTGGGGTCAGGCATGTTTGTTTTTTTATTATTACAGGACGCTTATGTGCGTAATCCTTCCATATTTGGAATCAGAGTTTCCGAATATGGTTGGATGAAAAAACCCAGTGCAATACCGCAAAATTATGCCACACTGTAATTTATGGCATTATTGTGACAGATGTATAATAATATACATTATCAAGGAGCATTTGAATGTCAAGTCTTCATGATATACCACACACTCAGAGAGAACCACAGATTGAACCACCATTCTTAAGCAAAAACTCCTTAATTTGGTGAATGAGGTCAGAGGTCAGTAACACAGTGACTAACATTAAAGTTATTTTAGTAGATGAGCTAAAGGATCATAACAAAACTTGAGCTAAAAATTGACTACTCATAAATGCAACTACTTTTGTTAGATGATCTAAGGGGTCAGCAACACAACTTTTTTTAATTTGATGGATGAGCTAGGGAGTCAGTAATACAACTTACTTTGGTAAGTTTTTCTTTGGAGTATAACTAATCACACCAGCATCAATAGCTCTGTTTTCGATTTCCTCAACCACTGGTCGTTTTGGTGGTTCCCACTTCTTGGCAAGTTCTCTTATCAAATCACTGACATGAAACACATCACCATCAAAACTTCAATGTAACAAGAACAAATATGTGTCAATTCAGAGAACCAAGATACATCAACATATGAATGATATTATGAGGTTATTACGAGGATACCGAAAAGTATGCACAAAGACAGTACAGCGAGAGTATCGCTGTTCGATGCAACTGTGCACTGTCTGAGTACATACTTTACAGTATCCTCGTAATAACCTTATTATTATACATCTTTTCCTCCCAGAAATCAATAACGTTTAGAACAGATTTAGCAAACTTCTTTGTGTGGGGTCCGGTCAAACCCTGGGGGCAGCCATGTTTGTTTTTTATTATTAGAGGACGCTTAGATGCATAGTCATTCCATATTTGGAAAATCGAGTTTCCCAATATGGTAAGATGAAAATACCCAGTGCAATACCGCAAAATTACGGCACACTGTAATATATAACTTTACGATGACAGATGTATAATAATATATATATATTACTGAAAAAATATGGAAGTTTGTGCTAGAATGCAGAAGATCATTCACATTTGGGCTGTGATATTTTACTGTAAAAGTTTACTCCTCAGTAAACTCTAGATGCAAATGATCACAAGATCTTGTTAAGAACTATAGAGACACAAGACTTGTTTTTGTCTCTCAAATCATGTTCCATTCTCTGCACCATTGTATCCTCTGCTCCAAATACCATGGTAACATAGGTCATGAGAACAGCGGACATGATGACAGGAACGAATAGAAGATTATGTGATGGGCAAAAACATGTCTTGCTACTCTCTTGCTCTTAATCTTTTCACCACTTGTTCCCTCTTTTCTTCACAAATTCAAAAAATAGTCCTGTTTATAGTCTGCACTTTCCTTCAGAAGTTTGGGACAAAAATAGCTGAATTTCTTTTTCAGTAAAGACTGAAAATTGACACAAATTTTATCTTTTGGCTACAAAATTAGAAGTTATTTCCAGAAATATTGAAGAATATTAGAATAAAGTGGAGAATAATTTGGGCGAGAAAGTCTGGTGGTGAAAAGGTGAACAATATCTTGTGGCCATCTGCATCTTTGGTTTATTACAACCATTAAGGTAATATAATACGTCTGAGATTTGGTGTGTATCGCCATCTTGTCCACACAAGGTTATGCAGGGTTTAGTACATTTTATTGCAACAGATGACGACAATCCATTATTCAATAAAAAAAACAGGAAAACTTATAAAATGTGCATAATAAAAAAACAGAATTTGTTAGAGTCTTACCATTTCTGTACTTCATCTAACAACAAATTGGTCTGTCTACCATTGGCTTCATAGATAGCTCTTAATACTGACAGTGGTGCCTTCAACGCATCATTAGTGATCTGAGAACGCAATAACAAAATGAGAACTGGGTGGAAGGACAAATCAATGGATAGATCAACAGACAGAAAAGCAGGATCTAATCTATAAGCCACCCCATTCCAGGCAAAGTTTACTGGGGGTAATAAAAACAGCACTGACAAACTGACTGATAACACAATCAATACATCAACAAAGTCAACTTATAATCAAATAAATTTTCCTATTCCACCCCCTCAAGCATTTTTAAAAGCAACATAACACACAACTGTTATGTTCCTGAATTCCTAGCCTCCCAGGGTTAGAATACCAGTCAGTAAAAAATTCTATTTTTAACTAAAACCATTGAACACCAAAAGTAGCGAGTAGTAATCAATTCTATGCATTTGTGATACCAACCTGAAAACATATTTTTGTATTCTCATCCAGCCCTTCCATTGGATCCAACCCAACCTCTGTCACTTCAGGGGTTTTGGTGGGTGATGCAGTTTCTTGAGTTGGCGTAATTTCTTCATTACTGCTGCTGCTCGAACTACTGCTGCTACTGCTACTAGTGTCGCTCCAATCATTGTCATTCAGCAAATCAGGATCCGCAATGGTCTCAAGATGTTGTTTGGGAGATGGTTTGATTTTAGGTTCGTGAGGTGGTTTAATTGTCTCAGACTTATCACCTGTATACAACATCACAGACATAATCTGTGAAGAAAATATTATAATAGCTAATGTAAACAACACCAGAGTGTAAGCAATGGAGTAAATATCAAACCTCTAAATACAGAAGGAATTTTTTGAAAACAGAATCATTCTCGGGCCAACTTTGAATTATGAAATGAATTATAATACACATAATACTACACATAAAATGGTCTCCAGTTGCCTGACTTGTAAATTGAGTAAATAAATCCGTATTTCAGCTTCTGGTAATTCAACATACAAGTAGTACCCATGATCAAATTACTTACCACACCCCTAATGATGAACAAGATGAAAACCATGTTGCAACTCAAAAACTCACATCAACCATGCAATATACATGTATACTTGTTTTATACTTAGCACAGGAACAAATACAATATCATAATCTGTACTAACAGAAGGTTTTGATGTTCACACTAAAACAAATTGTTCATACCAGGGTCTTGATGGAGTATTTACCTCTAGGTCTTTAAGCAGCCACTGTCGACTGAACTCAGTGCCCTTAGCTGCCATATGAACTAATAGTGGTAGTAAGCCGCTATCTAATACTTGTTTTACACTCTCAACGCCTTTGACACTCTGCAACAATAAAATAACACCAAAAGATTGCATTAAAAAGTTAAGAAAGTTTGTACAGAAAAATAAAAATATGCATTAAAAAGTTAAGAAAGTTTGTACAGAAAAATAAAAATATATGTCAATGGCAAGAAATAACTGGGATACTTTTTTTTTTAAACTGTTTTACTGGTATTGGTGGAATACATGCATCAAAGCAACTGTTTCTCTCCATCACAACCATGACGTCAGTTCAGTCTTCTATAATTCAAACTAAATAACCTATGGTATATTTAAAACACACTTCAAACCATGCAAAAGTCTCATAATGTCAAATACTAGTAGAGTTTAACAGCAATATCTCACAACTTTGAAATTTCACTTTCATTAAGAGAATTGACAGCTTACCTGTAAATTGGTCAAAACTGCTTTCAACGTCAGACCAAGAACCCACATTATTTCAACACTCAAGGATTTTCCTAGACAAAACAAGAGCAATGTAGATGACATAGTAGACCTCTTAAATCATCCACTATATAATATTATTATATAATACATCTATCACCGTAAGTGCCATAAGTTACAGCGTGCCATAATTTTGCAGTATTTTACGGGATATTTTCATCCTACTGTATTAGGAAATACATATTCCAAATATAGGATGATTAGCACGTAAGCGTCTTCTAATAATAAAAACAAACATGACAGCCCTATACAAAGAAGTTCGCTCAACCTGTTTTGAACAGTGCTAGTGACGACACATAGCGCATTTTGCCACAGAAGTCATATTCATGTTTGGGACTACATGACAGGGCTGTGTGGCCATGGCAATTCGTTAGTGAATGAATCTCGGCCAGTGGAATTGGCCTTCCCATTGAGTATGTGGCACACTCACCCAGGGTAGGGATCGACCCTTTTGGTTCAGCCTAAGGTAGGATTTGAACTCTGGTCTACCGATCATGACTCTGATGCGACAACCACTATGCTACCAGTGACTAGTTTTGAACTTTTTTGTATTTCGGCATTTCAATTATGTCTTCATGCATGCTTTTCGATATCCACGTAATAACCTCATATTACTGACAAGTTGTAGGTGTTGCAACCTAATCACAGACATGAACAGTGGTGCTACAGACTTGGAAAGTGATGCTACAGACATGGGAAATGATGCTACAGACATGGGAAGTGATGCTACAGACATGGGAAGTGATGCTACAGACATGGGAAGTGATGCTACAGACATGGGTAGGTGATGCTACAGACATGAGAAGTGATGCTACAAAAAATGAACAGTGATGCTACAGACATGGGAAGTGATCCTACAGACATGGGAAGTGATGCTACAGACATGTGCAGTGATGCTACAGACATGTGCAATGATGCTATAGACATGTTCAGTGATGCTACAAAAAACTGGACAGTGATGCTACAGACATGGGAAGTGATGCTACAGACATGGAAAGTGATGCTACAGACATGGGAAGTGATGCTACAGACATGGGAAGTGATGCTACAGACATGGGAAGTGATGCTACAGACATGGGAAGTGATGCTACAGACATGGGAAGTGATGCTACAGACATGGGAAGTGATGCTACAGACATGGGAAGTAATGCTACAGACATGGGAAGTAATGCTACAGACATGGGAAGTGATGCTACAGACATGAGAAGTGATGCTAGTCATAGACAGTGATGTACAGAAATGTCCAGTGATGTACAGAAATGTCCAGTGATGTACAGAAATGGACAGTGTTGCTACAGACATGGGAAGTGATGCTACAGACATGTGCAGTGATGCTATAGACATGTCCAGTGATGCTACAAAAAATGGACAGTGATGCTACAGACATGTGCAGTGATGCTGCACAAGGTATCATCTCATTTCTTACCTTGTTTAGACATTGTCAATATATCCTTAGCAATGGTCAGAAATCTCTCAAACCTCTCTGAATCCAACGGCTCTCTCGATGGGGGTTTACATTCCACCTGGTATTCTTTCACCTTATCGATAAAAAAAATCTATCGTCAATCAAACATAAATGTACCATGTGAAGTGAAAAAATAACAAGCGACTTCATGCTCTTCTTCTTGTAAAAAGTTGATAATGTAGTGCACAATGAGGTATTAGCTATTTGCCATGGTGTTTATTTCTACAATGTTCTTCACAAAAAATCTGGTTACAAATCTCACAGAGGAACACCAATGGTACCTACATACCAAGTACAAAAAATGAGATTTTAGCAAAATCAGTTTTACAGCAAGTCTCATAAGTATTG